ACGTCCGCCAGATCCAACAGGTGAGCTCTGTTCTAAGCCCGCTGGAGCGAGCAGTCACGGCGATCAATGATTGCCGCGTCTGTTCGCTTTGGCCTTCCATTCTTTTCACTAACGTAAGGGCTAGCCGGCGTCTACGCCCTTGACCACCAACGCTCCAGTCGAGGAGTCGTCGCCGCCGAAGAAACGCAAACGCGTCGTCGAACCCGTACGTGTACTCTGTGTCGTTCGTTTCACTATGTTCTGATCGACTTCCAGGCGGCTCCAACCGAGCAAGTCGCCGCTCCTTCGTCGTCCCGGCCTGCCAAGCAGAAGGGGAAGAGTGACGGCTCCAAGTCGCAGGCCCCTGCCGCCGTCGCAGGCAGCAAGGTCGCCGTCGCCCAGAAGTCGAGCGAGAAGTCGCACGGGAAGCGACCCAAGGCGACTCCTGCCAAGGAGCCCAAGGCGTCGTCCCATGCGCCTACTCGTAAGTGGCTCTTTCTTTTCATTCACCAGAGTCGCGGGGACTTATTTGTCGTAGCCGCTACCTCGGTCCCTGCTCCACAGGGATCACCTCCCAAGCGCGTCCACAAGAAGACGCACGCAGGTGTGTGCACCCTATGTCTTATTTCGTTGATCTTGAGACTAACCACTTGGTCCCTCCCAGCCCGGATCCAAGCACAGCCTGTGCAGCCCGAGTCCCTCAGCGATGAGGAAGCCGCCGCCGTCGCCGACACTGCGATGGATGTCGACGACGAGGGGGTTCAGGAGGGAGACGCGTCCCCGGCCGACGAGCTGGCCCTTCAGGTAAGTGACCCAGTTCGTCGATCGCGGTTCCTTCGTCTCATGGTTGGTTTGTTTTTGACAGGGGCCCAAGTCCAAGGGGAAAGCGCGATCGAATCTGAGTACGTTTTTCCTCTTGTCCCCCCTCTGTCGTTTACTCATACTTTCGTAGCCCCGTCCGTCATTGTCATGGACGACACCTCCGAAAGCGGAGAGGAGACCGGCGACTTCGTCGTGGCCAAGAAGCAGGTCAGCGAGACCCGCGTCAAGCCCAAGGTAAGCCGACCCCTTTTTCCCAGACCACGCCCCTTAATCCAGCTTTTTAGCCAATCAAGAAGGTCGCGGATGGATCATCCAAGTCGACCAAGTCCGTGCCTCCCCATCCGGTGCCGAAGGTGGAGGCCAGTCGCAAGGCGAGCGCCCCGCGAGCGACGACTACCCCGACCCCAGTGGCTAAGGTGAGACACAAATCTTGGGTCCCAGACGTCGACTAACTCAATTTTCTTTCTTTTCTAGGTTGCCCAGGCGGCTCCCGCTGCTACCAAGACTCCACGCAGTGAGTTGGGCAGGGTGGCCGCGACCCTTGGTCGCGAGCGGAGTGTTGCGGCGGCCAAGGCCGAGCTCAAGGCCCAGAAGGCAGAAAAGTCCGTTGCGGCGGCCAAGAAGAAATCTGACTCGGTGAGTCGCGACTTTTCTTGTCGTCGACTTCTTACTGACTTGACTGTTTCTAGACTCCTGCAAAGGCGTCGGCTCCCACGCCCCAAGCTCCGTTCACTCCCGCCGCTTACGACACCGAGGCGCTCCTTTCGGTGGCACGCCAAGGGTTCGCGGGGAAGTTGGAAAGGGCCGGCGTCGAGGTGCCAACAGACTTCGTGCGTTCCTTTATCTTTTTCTGCCATGCCTCGACGACTGATTCCCTTTTCATAGGAGGTCGCGCCAAGGCCCTGCGCGATGTGCGTGACGCGGCAGCGCGTCTGCTTCAAGAGCGTCGACGGGCGCCACGGCAATCGGTGCGCCCCGTGCGTGCTCCATAAACAGACTTGCACCAACGGCTACAAGCCCGCGGAGCAGCTGCATATGGGGCAACGCTTCGGGTATATCGCGCAGATGAGCGCGGATGGTACGAGTCCGCTCTCTTCGTTCATTTCTATTTTTGATCGTTTCTGACGACGTCTTCAGATCTCAACAAGTCCGCCAACCGTCTTGCCGACACCTTGGACGCGTACGGCGGGCTTCTTCGCACGGCCAACGAGATCCGCGTCCTGGCCATTGGCCAGTTCCGTGATTTCGTTGGTCAGCTGAAGGAGCACTTCGACGACGGCTCGGACGAACGCATCAAGGCGATGTTCGTTCACACCGCGACCGAGATCGACGCCGCCGAGTTGGCCGACATCCGCAAGGGTGTTCGGATGATCTTGGCCCACGGGGACTTGTTGGATGGCGAGGCGAACAAGCGGTTCGCGGCACCCCCTGCTTTCTTTGATCCGTTTTTCTATCGCGAGATGGAAAAGATGGAGAAGCAGTTCCAGAGGGAGATCGAGAAGGCCCAGGAATTTGACAAGTCGGACCCCGCGACCATCCAGGATCAAGCCTTCCAGCCCCTCGAGGACCACGAGATCGACGTCGCGCACTTGGCGAGTAGTTGCACCCGTGCGCCCTCTTCGTCGCCCCAGCCTTCGCCATCGCCGCCTCCCGTTGCGTCGTCGTCCCAAGCCGTCTTACAGGTCTTGGATTTTTCCGACAACTACAGCGAGACCTCGGCCGAGTCCACCACGGCCGATTCGGGTGAAGACGCGGAGGGTGAAGAAGACGGGTCTGCCGGCGACGAGAACGCCGACGACGGGAAAGTCGACGACGAGAACGTCGACGACGAGGGCTCCGTCGCCGCGGGTGAGACTGCCATGGAGGTGGATGAGCAGTAGACCAGCTCGTTCCACCGTCCGTGAACGTTGCGGCCCGTTTTTATTTATTACATTGCATCAACGTATCGTACTGTCGTCGTACAACCCAATCGATCTATCCTGCTGCCTGAGTCGTCGTCGCGTGAACTTTTAAGTCTAAATTTTCAAAATTCTTGGAAGAATTTTCTTGAAACATTTTGAAAAAGTCCCGGACCCCGTCCTCAGTAGCGTCATTGGATTTTCCACTTTCCAGCACATGGGTCCAAGGGGTGTGCACGTTGTTGCGCACCTCAATTTCCAATGTGTGGACTTCTGCGGACTCTGTGGCTGATCTTTCGTAAGATCTGCCCTCTCCCAGGAACACAGATCTAAGCCGTCCTCGGCTTATCTGATGCGCGACTAGAAAAGTTTTTCCAGAGTCGACGATATAAAGTCTGGGTGGGCTCGACAGATTATGTCCAGTCCCATTCTCAGTCCTTATTTCGTTCCCATTCTTTCTCTCTATCCAGGCCTCGCTATGTCCGCATTTCCTCTCCCCCAAGACTTCGCATCACTCGTCGCGTCGTGGAAGAAGGCTAAGCCTTCTCTCGCAGCGATGAACAAGCTGGGTCTAGGCGGTTCCGAGGGCATCCTCAGCGTTGGCAAGGATATCTTCTTTGTTCGAGTACGTTGTTTTGTGATGGCGTGTCGCGGCGATTATCTTATCTCGTCGACAGACCCGCTTCCAAGCTAGCTCGTTTGCTGCTCAAGATCCTCCCCGCGACGTTTTGGATTGTCTCGAGGAGGCCACCACGCTCGCTCTGTCTCAGACGGAACTGCTCAAAGAAGTTCCTGAGAAGCAGCGCGACGCCTCTCAGACTAAGGCCGTCAACAAGTATCGAGCCTATCTGATTTGGCATGAGTCCCTTGTCGCGGCGATTATCAGCATGCGACAGGCTCAGGAGAGCATCCCACGTCCTGCCGCGACTCCGTCGTCGTCTGGAAAGGCCAAGGTATGATTCCCAGTCTCTGTCCAGATTTTCTTACGGATATTGTTGCAAAGGCCGAAGACCCTGTTCCTGAGGCTTCAGGCTCAACTCCTGCCATTGACATTGATTCAGACGTCGAGATGGAGGCCCCCACTCCTGTTCAAGAGAAGGTGCGTCCGTCTTGAGTCTTGCCGAGCACAGGTTGATTTTTCTCAGACCCCGCGACCATCTACTCGCAAGACCGTTGCAGGACGGTCTGGTTCTCGATCGGTCGACGGATCTGGTCATGACGACTCCGTAGGGCTCGCGGACGTCTATGGGACTATCATTCGACTCATAGACGATGTCAGGGGACGCCGCGCTCCTTGGGCACGTGACCATGCACGTGACCCACTGCGCCCTCTCTGCCGACCCGTGCCTGCTCACCTGTCGATCACCCAGCCTCCTCCTCCTCCTCCGATCCTCATCTCCATCCATGCCGACATCCGCCCTCTCCCTCCTTCTCCCGGCCATCTCCCTCAAATCCCCGCAAGCGGTCTAGCCAAGCCCGATTCCTTGCACCAGGGAGTGCTACTGCCGTACGCACTCCTCCCCCTTCACTTCGGCCTTCTCCCCGCGGATGTGGTCTACTGCCGTACAGGCTCGTACCAGATGCCCTTGCGCTCATCCGCACCACCCCTCTTCCCAGTCGGGCATTGGTCCTCGCCTCCAATGTCTCCACTGGCCGGCCCGGCACTGGCCTGGCCACTGGGCTCCTCCAGTGTGGCCTTCCACTGTTGGTGTCTCAGGAGCTGGCCATCACTGGCCCCTCTGAGCCACTCACTATCTTATCTGGGTTTGTCATTATCTACTTGTCATCTGCCATTGTTCCATGGCAGTGATATCCCATCATCATCGGTCACTTGTCACAGCTGACTATATAGTGTGACACCTGGGCACATGGATCCTTGAACCGTTCTCTAAGGATCCCCCTCTGTGCTCAGGTGAGTAGTATACCTCCCTTGTATTTGATAGTCTCTAAGGATCCCCCTCTGTGCTCAGACTCATGTGAGGTTGTTGTGTGCTGTGTGCTCTCTTCCTTCGGGCTGGCAGGAGTTGCCCTTACAGCAGAACGGTTCCACCCCATTGGACTCCACCCAGCTGAGCGTCAGGACAGTGGCAGTCTATGGCGCCCTGTTGCTGCGCACTGGTGTGGCCTCCAAGCCGGCTGGCGGCTAGTGGTTTTGTAATTGGTGTGTCCCTGTCGAGTCCCTGGTAGTGTTAACTGGTCCACTCCATACATCGCATACGCATCACCCACGAACCCCCGGTCATCCCCCCCCTCCTCTTCCTCCCCCCTCATCTCCCTGGCCTACTGCCGTCGAGGCTCGTGCCATCCGACTCCGACCTCCTCCCCCCTCGTTCCCCTCCTGGATTTGGGACTTGGCCCCCCTCTCTCTCCCCCCTCCTGGCTGGATGTTGGTTCTGTGGATTGGTGGATTTGGATGGCTGAGCTGGGTTGGATGAGTTGGTGGTGGGATGACTGTCATATGTGCCCTGGTCTCTGGTTGGGTCCTTGTGCCCTAGATATGTGATTCTGCTCCTCTCCTATGCTGCTGAACACATTCTACCCAACCTGCTCTACTCCCCCTCCCCCATGGGCACCTCTGTGAAGCTGGACCCCCTGGTCTTGTGTTCCCTGCCTTCCCACCTGCCTCTACCCCTCTCCACCTCCTAGCTGGCTGCAGCCCTGCTCTGCCTGGGTGCCCTCTGTGTGCCCTCTCTCCATCCCTCCCATGGACTCCCCTCCCCCTGCCCCCTGCCAGCCCCACTCCCCCAGAGCATTTTCGAGTTTTTGGGGCAGTGGCAGTGCTCGGGTTTCCCACGCTGTCAAAAACCCGGCCATCCTCGGGCTTGCTGGCAGTGGCAGTTTCTAGTCACCTGGCTGTTCTCTCAGCTGACCCCCATCACCCCCGCCCTCTGTGGCAGTGCCCCGCTCCTTGCGCAGCCACCGCGCCCCGCCCCTGCGCAGCCACCCCGCTCCCCGCCCTCTGCACAGCCACCTGCCTCTCCCCTTTGGCAGAGTTTGGTCCGCTCTCTGCTCCTGTGACCTCATGGCTGTGCTCTGGATCCCCACACTGCCACCTGTCTCCAGTGGCAGTGCACTGGCATAGCCACAGTGACAGCCCATTGCCTTTGAGGCAGTCTGCTGTCTTGTGTAGCCACACTGTTGGTGCTCTGCCCCTAGGGCAGTCTGCCACTCTGTGAGCTGCTGCTGTGTGCTGTGTCATGTGCAGGGAGTCATGTGATGTGTGGCTGCGCTATGTCACATGCATATCACGTGACCGTCCTTTCAGTCATGTGACCGACATGTCACGTGATCCGTGGCTGCGTCCCAGGCACCATTTCTGCTGCGCTTTTTCGTGGCTGTGATGGGACCCTAGGCTTGGGTTCCTCTGTGATGTGATGGATCTGGCATTGCCTGCTCATAGCTGCCGCTCTCTGCTGGGTCTGGGTCTTTCCTCATCGTGCGCTGGGCCATCCGGCCTCCTCTCTTCTGCTGCTTCCTTGCGTCCTTGGGTCCGCGCTCCTATGCCGCCAGGCTCTCTCTGCCCATCCAGGCCTACTTCTTGGTTGCTGCCCACGCTCGTTGTGTGTTATCGCAGGTGGGCTGCAACCTTGAAGGGGGGATTGTCCATTGTCCCCCATGACCATCCATTGGTCACTTGGCACCTGCTTCTCTGCAGGATCGGTTCGGATGGAGCACCCCTTGCTCTATCCCCAGCTGATTGTGATGTCGCACCTGGTGCAGCGGACCCTCTCCCTCCGTCCCCTCTCCTCTGCACTCCTCCCTCTGTTCCCATTGTCTCCGCCTTGGTCCATGACCTCTCCCCCCGCTGTCTCGCCTCTACGCACGTCTCCACGGGCATATACCCCCGGCTTTGGCCGGCGGAACATCCGCTACGTGCCTCCGCTGTTGTGCGAGGCCTTGCGCTAACCGTGTGATGGCTGGCCCCCTTGGCCGGCTTGTTACGTCTTGAGCGTCAGAGCAGTCGGTCCTTCTGTTGGCTCTGTCCCCCCTACGTGTGTCTCCATGGGCGTATACCCCTGGCTTCGGCCGGCGGAACATCTGCTACGTGCCTCCGCTGTTGTGCGAGGCCTTGCACTAACCATGTGATGGCTGGCTTGCTGTTGTGGCCGGCCTGTTACACCTTGGCTCCGGACATCCACGGCAGGTGGTAGACCCGTGCATCACCCGCCGACCCCATCTATTAGGTGGCTGGTGCACGCAACATCCCTCCCTTCTGCATCCGATACGTGCCTTTTTTTTCGGTTGCCTCTATTGCTGCTGTGCAGCTGGGACAACCGATTGGTGCGTCGAGGGCGCCGCACCTTGAAGGGGGGATGAAGGGGCAGTGGAGGGAAGCGACCGCAAGGGAGCTTCTCTCTACAAGTGGGACGACTTCAGGAGTCCTGGTTGCCCTTACAGGCACCTGAGCTTCTGGGAGGAGCAGAGTGACGACCACCCTGACCATAGGGAAGGTTGTGGTACAGCCACACATGCATAGCTGTGGGGCTGGACCTTAGAGCGGGACAGTGACCAACCACTAGGTCATAGGGAGCTGACACGCAGCTCAGTGACGACGCACCGGACGACAGAGTAGGATGCGCAGCATCCCACTGGAGTAGTGTGTCCTTCTTTTTCCCCACCCACCCTCCCCTTTCTCCCATCTGCTTCGCGCTGCCTACGTCGGGACGCCGTAGCTTGAAGGGGAGATGATGTCAGGGGACGCCGCGCTCCTTGGGCACGTGACCATGCACGTGACCCACTGCGCCCTCTCTGCCGACCCGTGCCTGCTCACCTGTCGATCACCCAGCCTCCTCCTCCTCCTCCGATCCTCATCTCCATCCATGCCGACATCCGCCCTCTCCCTCCTTCTCCCGGCCATCTCCCTCAAATCCCCGCAAGCGGTCTAGCCAAGCCCGATTCCTTGCACCAGGGAGTGCTACTGCCGTACGCACTCCTCCCCCTTCACTTCGGCCTTCTCCCCGCGGATGTGGTCTACTGCCGTACAGGCTCGTACCAGATGCCCTTGCGCTCATCCGCACCACCCCTCTTCCCAGTCGGGCATTGGTCCTCGCCTCCAATGTCTCCACTGGCCGGCCCGGCACTGGCCTGGCCACTGGGCTCCTCCAGTGTGGCCTTCCACTGTTGGTGTCTCAGGAGCTGGCCATCACTGGCCCCTCTGAGCCACTCACTATCTTATCTGGGTTTGTCATTATCTACTTGTCATCTGCCATTGTTCCATGGCAGTGATATCCCATCATCATCGGTCACTTGTCACAGCTGACTATATAGTGTGACACCTGGGCACATGGATCCTTGAACCGTTCTCTAAGGATCCCCCTCTGTGCTCAGGTGAGTAGTATACCTCCCTTGTATTTGATAGTCTCTAAGGATCCCCCTCTGTGCTCAGACTCATGTGAGGTTGTTGTGTGCTGTGTGCTCTCTTCCTTCGGGCTGGCAGGAGTTGCCCTTACAGACGAGCACGATAGGTCGATGCGTCTTCTCAGCGCCAAAATGTCGAAGCTTCACGCGGAGCAGATGGAGGCTCTAGGGAGCTGTCTCCAGAGTTTCCAGACGTGGGTTTCACTCAGTCGCGGCGACTACATTTCTGACCAATTACCCAGCCATCGTTCGTTGTCACCGGCTCGAAGAGGCAGCGACTCAGCAACAGTACCACTGATGCGGCCCCGGGTGAGTCTCGCAGTTATATTCCCGTATCGCGACACTTCGCTAACCGATTGGCAGCGTCCGCGTCCGACCGAAGGTTTATTGCGGACCGAGTGCACCGACATCAACTGTACCGGTTGCGGCGGTCCATTCCACTCGAGCTCCTCATCGAGGAACGCGACTACGTCACGTCGCGGCTAGAGGAATGGAAGACCGCGCTCAAGGACGTCAAGGAAGCCATTGACCTCTCGATGTCGAAGAATGCGGCCTAATCTTTTCATATTTTGTTCTATATGCACTCTCCTTCCATATGTCTCTCTTTTCTCATGTCACTTATTTATGAAGTCGCGTCTCTTCTTCTCGCGCACCTCCTTTATGACCTTTTTCTTTTAGATACAACCCAGTATAGTACTTAGGTACCAGCTAGCACCCAAGCAATATATTGAATTCTGTCTAAAATCCGAGATAAGCGACGTCTTCGCCGTGCGAGAGCCTGCCGCGACAGTCACTTGCGCGCCAGACTTTCACTCGACAGAAGCTGGATCCTCTACAGGGTCGTCGTCGTCGTCACTATCTGAGTTCTTGAGTTTCACACCTTCGAACTGGTAGTCGCGGACGTCAGATATTTCTTCTACCAACTCATCGAGTTTAGCAGGCGAAATATCTATCAGCTTCTTTATATCTTCGGAGAGTGTCAACTTCTGTCTTGCCAAATAGGGTATTACTCTGAACGCCGCGACTTTCGCATGGAACATCGCACCGTTCATTTCACAGACTAAGTAAGAACCCCCTTTGGTCTTTCGAACTACAATCATGGGCCCAAGATATCTAGCTTTCATCTTGTTGTCCAATGATTTTTCAATAGCTGTGTTCCTGACCAACACTAAGTCCCCTGGCACAAACTTGTAATCCTTGATCACATGTTTGTACTCGAGTTCGTAGCGTTGAACCATCTTTAGTTTGGCGTCGCTGACGCGGCTGCGCATATCTTCAATATGGTCGGCGTGTTTCGCTAGAGCGCGTGCCCTGAGACCAACGAGATCCGCAGAGTCAACGATCTGGTCAGGATATTCGACTAGCCACGTAGCTTCGACTATATCCAGAGGGATGGTAGGGTGGGCCCCACATACTGCGAAGTATGGTGAGCAACCCAGCCCGCGACGCACTGTAATTCTATCCGCCCACAAGACTTGTGGGAAGAACCAAAACCATTTGGAGGCGTTTCCCCCTGTAGCTTTGTACAGTGACTGTCGAATGTCCCAATGACCTCTTTCAACAGTGCCATTCGCTTGGGAATTGTAAGGAGATATCCTTATTCCCTTGATACCATATTTCTTTTGTAACCAATTCAACGCCGCGACAAATTGTCCTGCATTATCGGTTACAATCCACTTAGGACACCCCCAGCGACACACTATGTCTTCGAGTAAGGAACGCGCGATCGCCTTGGCGTTGTCAGCCTGCAGCGGTCGCGCTTCCACGTAGCGGGTCAAAGAATCCCTTGCCGCGACGACATATCTGTATCCGTTGGAAGGCGTTCCCATAATCATGACGTCCGTATGTATCTTTTGAAATACACTTGGAGTCATAGTCGGCGTCGGTGGAGTCCGGAGGAGAGTTTTCTGACGGACTTGGCAGCTATGACAAGTCTTTATCCACCAGTCGACGTCCCTTTCCATCTCTGGCCACCAAAACCGAGTTTCCAACAGGCTCTTAGTGCTGAAAAGACCCTTATGACCCAGCGCGTCGTGACACGCCTTCATCATATAAGTCCTGTGGTGTTTGTCCACGACCAGTCTATGAATCCCATTGGTCGATCTCTTGTACATTTTTCCATCTTTGAGGAAAAACTGTCGCGAGAATTTGAGAAACGATCTGAACCGTTTGTCTGTCATTTCAGGCCTTACAGAAGTGTCTTTCAGCCACTTCCTAGCCATTACCAACTTATTGTCCTGTTCGATCCCTGTGCCAGTCCGGTGATCCTCAATATAGGGATCCTCAGGATTGTCGCGCAGTTCAAGATCAGGCAAAAGCGGTTCTCCGTTTGCCACATCGTTCAACATGAAGACTGGGACGACGAGCCCTTGAGCGTCATATGCGTCTTTGACACGCCGATTCTCAGCGCGACGAGAGTCGCAAGCTTCGACTAGCTCTTTGGATATGTCGTCGACCGACTCAGCACACCCGACCATAGAGTTAAGGTAGCCACCTCTAGTGTCAATATCCCTTTTGAACTCTTCAAAGTCTAATGGTTGTTCTGTGTCGTAGTCCCAATTTTCGTTGTTCTCTGGTGGTGGCTCGTCGAAGATTTCCTCTTCGTCATTGGGATACTCTTCGTCTCCAGGTGCAGGTCGTCGTCGCGACAAGCCATCTGGTGAGAAGGTGATTCCTCTGACATGTTTCAAGGTAAACTGAAACATGAGGATCTCTTCAGCCCAACGGTTGATGTTTGCATTTGGTAGGTTACCAACGTTCCTTAGCATGCCTGCCAAGTATAGCGCGTCGGTCTCGACTACCAATTTCCTACAACCAAGAAGCCAGTGAGCCATGGCTTGAAGCACGCGCTTCACACCATAAAGTTCACGCTTCGGTTGAGAAAACCTAGCTTCTCTTTCTGTAAGTGGGATACTCCCAAATTTCGCGTAATAGACCTTCTTTGGATCATCTGGGTCGCGCTGGTAAATTTCGAAACCCGCGGCCATCCAGGATGTGTCTATTGCGACGACAATCTCAGAGTCCCACTCGTAGTTCAGAGGCTTAAGCGACGGACAGACTTGTATCGCGTCTTTAAGTCTTTGAAATGCGAGTTTCTGTTTGTCACCCCATTCAAAATGCGCGTTCTTGTTCACTAGTCTCTGAATTGGTCGCGCCATTTCAGAAAATCCTCTAATGAACATCCGCATGACCCCAATCGTGCCCATGAATTGTCGAACCTCCGAGACGTCTCTCAAGTCTGGCCAACGCATGATTACACCAACTCTGTCCGCGTCAGGTTTTCTACCTTCAAACGAACAGATATGGCCAACCACAGCGAACTCGTCGGCGCAAACCACCGACTTGGTACCAGACAGAGTCGCGCCACAGTAGCCGATTCTGTGCACGACGCGGTTCACATTCTGAAAGTGCTCCCATACGAAGCGACGGATCCCAGGATTTTCTCGAATCGTTTCACAGGTTCCATCGGGTAACAGATACCTGGTTCCAGGTCCTCGAACGGGTACGTCGTCGATGTATGGAATAGTAACATGAGGAATTTCGTCTTTCAAAATGAAAGTAACGTCCTCATGGAATATGGGTACTGAGTTGGTCCATCCTTGTGGGAGTTTGACCAACCTCAGTGCACCGAACGGTGACTGGAATGTAGTCAAGTCGCGACTAGCTGGATCGATGTCACGCTGGTCGTAGCCTGAGTACAAATCTAGCGCAGCACCACAGGCGCGACCGGCGAAGTGGTTTGCTAACTCCTCTGTCGCGGGTGGCAATCCTGAATGTGCGATAGTTATTGCATTGAGTGGTTCAAGTGAGTGCACCAGTCTGATGCTCTTCCCATCCTTCTTAAGTACAGCAAAGAACTTGCTTCGATAAGAGGAATTGGAAGGTTCGTAGACCTGGGCCGCGATTTTGTCTTTTATGACCTTGCACACTTGATCGAACATGCCGCGAGGTATAGGAATATTTCCCTCGCGATATGCTGTATGGGGAACTGTCGCGATCTTGACAGGAGGAAATATATCCTGTCTCAATGCGCCACGCTCTTCATCATTGAACGCGAAACTCTGATTGTGAAGCATATAGAAGTGCATGAGCAACTTCCGTTCTTCTGGTAATAAGAAGTCCCCTTTGTGTAGCTTGTCCACAATCTCCCTGCGTTCCGCCGTGAATCTACCAGTTGGGGTAAAATCAGGTGGTCGCGGGTCTAGAGTAGGTAGCGTATCCAAAGGATCTCCCACCATTTCTCGAATTATTCGGTCGTCCTCAGAACCCATAGTGTACACTGGTCTGACTTTCTGGTCTACAGGTTTGTATTTCTTCCCTGCGAACACAGAGTATTTGTCGCGACTAGAAGAGTCGTCGTCTAGTACACTCCAAGTACCAACAGTCAGTTTTTCCGTTGCCGCGTCTGAGAGTCTTTCATTCATATATGAATGAAACAAAGTCGACGCAGCGACGTCTTTCTTCATTTCCTTGTCTTCTTTCGACAACAAGATATATGCTTCTACTAGCTCAGTTTGGGTAAACTGGCCACTAGAACACGGCTTTCTTAGATCCTCGAACACTACATTCCCATCCTTTCCCAACGACACAGTCACCGCGACTTCTTCTCCTTGACTCAACCTGGTCAATTCCTCGAAGCTCTTTGAAAATCCCGTTCAGGGTTCGGTTCGTCTGGACTGGTCGTCGGTTTCGACGAACTGTAGGGCTCGGTAGATCCGTCGTTGTTTCTAGTGTTACGCGGCAAGTCGTCTGCACGACGTGGCTGCGTAGCCATTGCACAACGTGTCTTTAAATTGGGATCGCGCATGGTGATTATCTGGCTGCCGTCAGCCGCGTTCTTGATATTGCTTTCTGTCGCGATATCAAATGGTCTGCCGAGTAACACCTTGTAAGCTGGACTTTCCAAAATGTGCACTTGCAGGTAGACCAGGATGGTCCCAAACCTGAAGGGTACATTTCTCGCTAATCCCAGTGACTTAGAGATAGATCCATTTGCACTTTCCATATAGATGACGACTTTTGGGTCCCA